AGTTTTATTTTTTTACCATGAAGAAAAATTTCAGTAAGGTAAAATGTAAACAAGGCAATGGATGGGTATTTAAGAATTTTTTAGGATCTTAGCCTATTAACTATTTGTTGATTGTAAATTACAAGTTAATTTTAGCTACTCCCTGGTAACATCGAAGCTAGGTTTTCTTTTGACTGGTTAGCTTGAATTAATATATGCATTAGAAAAGTATAAACCTGCATTAACAATTCCATGTTTTAAAAAAATTCACCTTAGCTTTTAATGATTTTAGCTTGTATTTTAAAAATAGAATTTCAACATAGTCTTGAAAGGATTTTTTTTAATGGTGAAAGTTTTCAATTCTCCATGAATAATTTTAATTTAAACTAGAACTATAGATGTCTACCATAATTAATCAATACTCTCCTCTTTCAAAACAGCTTTCATAAGTGCTAAGTTCTGTGTTCTTATGTTTCCCTGGTGCTGGTTGTCATACCAGGTACTGCTTCAGTAAATGTGCAGTAAAATAATTACTCATGTTTTCAGTCACATCTGACTAATTTTCTACAAGTGGATTAGTAAAATTTGAATTGAAATATGGCAACATTATTGACTAGAAACATAACCTGTTGAGAATGAAGGAATCATCAATATGATGTATCCAACCCTGTCTGCTTACAGATGAGACCCATAGAGGTGCCCTGAATGACCAGTAGCAACTGGGTACGGGGCTTGGATTTTGCCCATTTGGTTCAGCTTGTCACTGCAAATAGTTATGAGTGATATGATAAGGTATATGTCTATATATTAAGAAGACTACACTGATGGTCTCTCCTATAAATTAGAGTAAATACTCATTTAAGAGAGCTCTAGATTCAAGTATGCCATACACCATTTACAAAACAAAGTCTTCTGAGCTTTGCTAGTGCTTCTATTTTTGGAATGCTATAAACAATCTAAGAGCACAACCTTCTGGGAGCCATTCTGTTAGCTACCAACTCATGTCCCCAGGGAACCTTGTCTTTGACTGTCCCTCTTCCATTTCCTCATATCCAGTCACTGAGCATTAGGGTTGAAAAGGAACTAGAAGTCATGTGATCTCATGTGGTGCCAAAATTTCTCTTGAATTTAACCCCTCCTTTCAGTTGTCTCTTTGTTGTTGCTTACTCATCAGAACCCCGTGGACTTCCTAAAGGGGCTGCTATTTTTACTTCTCCAATTCATAGGCCATACTTCCCATGAATGTGTATGCCTAACACACAAACAGGATTGCTTTATACCCAGCTCAGAACCCTTAATTGTTCTCTTTGCTTGAAGTAATCAACACCAGCTCTCTCTCTCTCTCTCTCTCTCTCTCTCTTTTTTTTTTTTTTTTTAAAGAGAGAGCACGCGAGCAAGCCAGGTTGGGGAGCAAAGAGAGAATCTGAAACAGGCTCCATGCCCAGCACAGAGTCCAATGCAGGGCTTAATCTCACAACCTTGAGATCATGACCTGAGCCAAAATCAAGAGTCTGACGCTCAGCCAGCTGAGCCACCAGGCGCCCCAACACCAGCTCTCTTACTGAGCCATTCAGCACTCTTCATCCACCTTCTCACATAGGTGCAAATTCACGGTCCTTCCAAGTTTAGGCAACCGCTAAAGGCTTCTGTTGGGCAATCTAGAACACTGCTCACCATTCCCATCTTTATAAATGTTGAGTTTGGACCAGCCTCAGTGCTATTCTAGTTTTTTTGGTTTATGTTTTTTTAACCTTCAAAGTAAAGACAGCTACATTTTAGTTCGTTTGAATTAACCTCAGTTCTTTACCTTTTAAAATAAAATTACTGTACTTTATCTAATCAGTCTAAATTAACCACTTCCTCTTCCTTGCATTAATACTGTTTAGGTACACACTGCACTGTGCTCTCTCTCTTTTAGGACAACAGTGTTATGCATTTCTGTTTTCTCCACAGTATTTGAATGGTGCGCTTTTCTCCCACACCAGAATGAAAGCAAAAATTTTTTGTCTTAATTGTTTCCTGTTCTATCCCCACCTCATAAGACAACTCATAGATCCTCAGTAAGCACTTGTTAAATGAGCAAATAAGTTTGCTCACTACTTGATGCTGGATTGCACTGATTTGAATAGAACGCTTCTTGAAAACATGCATTTCCATGTATTTTGTAATTAAGGTTTTGCTAAGTCATTTTCATAGCAAACTTATCAATAAATTTAGACCCAAATGATCTAAAATGACGAGGATTTTATTATAATAAGGAAAGAAAAAGTGTGCCCATGTTGTGCCTTTGAGTTTTCTTGGGAAATAAAATAGAGGAGCCATATATTTTAATATTTCTTTATGATTTGCTTGTGTTTAAATATACTGAGAAATACTCCAGACAATTTTCCAATGTATAAATCTTAAGATGGCCTTAGCCAAAGTGAGTAGTTTGGACAAGATGTTAAATTCACTTCATTTCTAAAATATTTTGGTTCTGTTTCTTAATACCCAACGATCATTTATTTGAACCATGTAAATTTTTTATGTAAAGAATGCATTTTGAAAAGTTAACAATATCTGGAGTGCCTGGCTGACTCAGTAGGTAGAGCATGTGAATCTTGATCTTGGGGTTTGAGCCCCATGTTAGATATAGAGTTTGCTTAAAAAAAAATAAATAAATAGATAATAAATGAATAAGTAAATACATAAATAGGGGCGCCTGGGTGGCTCAATCAGTTGAGCATCCGACTCTTGATTTCAGCTCAGGTCAGCCACATGGAATCAAGCCTCACATCAGGCTCCTTGCTTAGTGGGGAGTCAGCTGGAGATTCTCTCTCTCCCTTTCCCTCTGCCTCCCCCCCCCCCGCCCCGTGCTCACAGGTGCTTTCTCTAAAATAAATAAATAAATCTTTTAAAATAAATAAATAAATAAAATCTTTAAAAGTTAATAATTTCCTATAGATTAATTACATATTTAGGAATATAATTCAAGTTGCAGATCAGAGTAGGAATTTGGGAACCAAAAAAAAACCCAATATCAAACCTGAATCACCAAGAAAGAAAGGGACTAAAAGCTCCAAAGTACTGGAGGGACACCTTGAGAAGTTAAAGCATATAATTTCAGGTCAGCTAGAATAAAATAGGATGTATACAGAGGTTCATCATGGGTTGCCTAATTTTTAATCTAGAAAAATTTGCCATTGCTTATGAAAATACATTACCCATGTGTTACACCCTGTGAAAGAAAGTATTTTTCTCTTTCAAAAAGAAGCCATATGGCATACAAAAAAAAAAAAAATTCTGGCCTTGGACAAAAAAGAAAAAGAAAAAAAGCAGATTTAAAGCTTACTAGATGTATTATTTAGTCTCTCAGCTCTGTTTCAGAATCTTGAAAATGAGTTCAATTTCCCCTGTTTAAATTTGTTAATAATGCATTGGTGTTCAGCAAGGATTCCCAAAACCATCTTAATTGCATGAGCCCAGTGGAGCCCTGAGAATTCCGTCAGACCTTCTCCCCTAGCAGCTTCACGTGTACTAATTAGAGATACAGAGATATTGAGCACCCATGTAAGGTTTGAAAAATGTCTTCACTGATATAACAAGTTTGAAAACCACAGAAATAATGTGTATAAGCTAAAAAATTAGCATGCACTCATAAATAATAGCTTCCATTATTAGGTAATACATGCTGGATCTATTAAATATTAAAACATGAACCTTCTATTACTGAATCGTAACCTCTCAGGTTACCTGGACAAAATGTCTTACAGAGGAACACATCTCGTGTGGAATGATACCCTGGTGTGGGCATTGCTACAACCTGATCTTTCATAGTCACTTAAATTTCTTTTGCCTTTGTTACAGTTTGTGCCATTAAACCACTTGTAGAGCTGGGCAGTAAGAACAACTCTGAAGAATATTATATGCTTTAGATTACAGGAAAAATAATGTGAAAATATCAACAGACTTTTTGCAACATTCAAGCTAGGAATAAATATTTGAGCCCTGGAAATACACAGAAGAACTTGGAGCAAATAATGGCATTTAATTTGATCAAGATATTATAAGGGCTCTTAAAAAGAAAAACAAAATCCACCTACTGTCTGGAAGCCTGAAGCCTACAGAGGCCTCACTTACATCTCAACCCATAATCTAGTAATGGACTATAATGAAAAGTTGGGGAAATGGGAAATGTTTTCCAATTATGCAGGGTTTTAAGGTGAAGTGTTTGTGTTATGTTATGAAAGAGGTCATGGATTGTAACAATTTCTATAGAGCAGGATCTTTTAATTTCTTATACTCTGTTACATAGAATTCTTTTTTGAAAAGATTCTGTATTTCAAGATAATTCTGTGAATTTCATGAACATGACAAAATAAAATTGAACTCCGTAAGCTTCTAACCCATAGAGTTAATTAATGAGGAGTGTTACAGGATTTACAAATAATTCAATCCATCAAAGTACAGTGATAATAATATCACTGTTGACTACATCAGATTGAGATTAATCAACCATCAGTATCTTGGGCTCTGAGAAAAAATATTAAGTAATAGAGCATTCTATCATTGCAGTAGTGTGAATGCTGATGAAAGAATTGATGGTTAGAATTCTCTTGTGGAATTAAATATGTCAAAACAACTCATACACAGTGGAGCTTACCTTGCATAAAAGCCAAAAAACTTGAAAAACTTAAAAGACAAACACTCATAACATGGAAGTGCAGTAGTACAAGAGGAATAATTTAAAACATTACTAGGAAACTATTTGAATTAGGCCAGGTAATTTGAATGGCTGGACCGAGCACCATGTTCAAAATCTTGAATAGCCATCATGGCAGCACTGCTCAGCTCAACAGACATGCTGTGTGGAACATCTCAGGCTAGTGTAAAATTTGGGGGGTGGGGCAGGTTTAACTGTAGGCAAGCAGCCTCTCCCAATATCCTTGAGATTTCAGTATACCATCGTAGAATCCCTGACCTGGAGATGAAGCCCAGGAATTTACTTTTTACAAGGAACCAAGGTGATACCAGTACGAAACAGGAGTTTGGAAACCATCAGATTGATACCCAATTTCAGCTTAACTCAGATTGAATGGCCCAGGGAATAAATGTCCTTGCAAGCATTTTCCCATCCACAGGCTTCCAG